GTTTTGTTTTGTTTTGTTTTGTTTTGTTCTGTTCTGTGTTTTGTTTTGTTTTGTTTTGTTTTGTTTTGTTCTGTTCTGCGTTTTGTTTTGTTTTGTGTTTTGTTTTGTTTTGTTTTGTTTTGTTTTGTTTTGTTTTGTTTTTTTTTTGTTTTGTTTTGTTTTGTTTTGTACCAAGGAAAGGGAGAAAAGTTTTGCTTTGGTGCGAGCAATAATAATCTGATCTTTGACTTGCTGTAATACACTAACTAAAAACAAATGAATGTATTGGGGTAAAAAAGAAAGAAAGTACAAATAACTGAATAAAAATATAAGGAGTAGAAGTAAAGTAGGGTGAAAAATAATTACTCAAAGTATAGATAAGTAAAAAAAATTAAGTATAGTAGTGATGTAATTACACTATTATTTGACACCTCTGAAAATTTGCTGCTCTGGTTTGTGTTTCCAGCCGTGCAGATGATGGCCCAGGCTCATTTATCCTCCTTAAACTTGAAGTCGGACGACAGTGGGGAGCCCTCTTCTGGAGAGGAAGAGGAGCAACATGATGATGATGACGATGATGATGAGGAGGAGGAGGAAAAGCAGCAGACAGCCTCGGCCACATATGGTGGGTGGTTTAACACAATCTCTAGGTTTTCTTTCTATTTTCACAGTTTTCTCACAATAACATTCATTTTGCGCTCAGATTCAGGAGAAGCGAGTGAACCACTCAGGGATCCACGCGATCTGCCGGACAGTTCATGTGCAGACGCCACTCTTCATCATGATGACCAGGATACGGCTACAAGGAGAGAGGGAGAAAAGGGAGACAGAGAAAATTAAAAGGAGCTKACTGAGAAAGTTTGTAATGAACTGCCCTGTACGACTCGTGCAGGAAACCTGATTGTGTGCATGGGTGTACTTAATGAGTTTGTCTAGACCTGAAGGTGTGCATCTGCATGACGTGAGGGAAAAGAGGGAGAAGAAAACAAATGATCGTTGAGAAAGAATATAAATGAGCAGGTGTGGGCAAACGTTTAACCTGAGACTCGTGAAGGAAATCGTATCTCAGGCAGCCAAGAGAAGCCTGGAAATATATTCCAGATTTACTATAGAAACAGCCACAAAACAGTTCCTTAAATGGAAATGATTTCACTTTAACTTTCACAAGTTGAATTTGAAATTCACAGCTTGTAAAAGGGAAAAGAGCTTGTCTCGCTATGCACACATTCTTCCTTCGTGTTTTTTTTTCCTGGTCAAAAACTCTAAATAGATGCAAATGTAGGAAATAGATGCACTTTATTAATAATGATGATGAATTAATAAAGGCTTAGCATTCCTCAAAAGGATGCATGTCTCCTGCTGCCTTTCATGCCAAAGTTTTAAACCAACAATGTTATGATGAGAAGAGACAAAGATGTACAGTACTTATATATTTTGGTCAAACCTTGGAAAAAATGTTATCTTGTGATATTTTTGAGATCTGGTGAATTAGAGTGCTCAGAGAATATCATGCGGACGACGCTCAGCTACACCAAATTTAGCTCTGTTTCAAACTGACAATCATAGCCATTTTTTTTGTTCAGGCTACAGAATTGAATGCGAGAGCTGCACGATGTTTTAATGTTTCTCCTCAAGGTCAATGAAAGATAAAGAGGATGGATTACAAATGAGTTCACCCAACTAATCTCTGTAATGCAACCCTGTTTTCCCTGTTTAATATTATAAACGGACGTTTGTGTAACCTGGTAATTAGCGAGGGTTATCTGGAGTGGACAGCACATAAACTGAAGTAACTGAAAGACACAAAACCAGGGATAAGAGTAAAAGTTTAATCATAAATCAAGGTTTTCTTTCTTAATAAAATGACTCAAAAAGATGTGTTGATCTTTAAATCATGGCTATAAAGTTGCTGTGTCATATTTCTGCTGTAAAAAAAACAAATATATATATATATTTGTCAGTTCAAATTAACAAGCATATTTATTGTTTGTATAATCTACTCATGCAGTAGTGATGTTTTATCTTTTATGTTTTGTTTTTCTTTAGCACAGTAAAAAAAAAACATCATAAAACAGATTTATTTTTTAAAAAGCAGCTGTACAGGAGAGGTAAGAAAACCCTAGAGTCTTATCAGACCACCTCCCCTATGATACTWCAGAATCAACATCATGCAAGAACAAAACAAACATCACAACACATGTCTATACAACCAAATCACACACCATACAAAACCATAATTTTTAAATGTTTTTTAATGAATGAAAGTCACTAGTGGACTGAAGAGCTGTGGTAAATTGTTCCAAATTGAAGGTCCTCTAAGAATACTTTGATTAATTGATATTCTGCATAATGACAAATAGAAGTAATGATAATGTCTTGTTGACTGAGTGAATATCAGAATAATAAAAATGTTTGAAAAGCTATTGGCAAATCAGTAGATAAATGTACATATTAAACATAACAAAGAGATGGACAATACACATTAAATATAGTCAAGATCTTGTATTTTATGAAAAGAGGAGCAGATGAAGACAGTATTTGAAAAATTCATTAGAATATTGTGGAGTTTTAATTTTCATGCAGCACCCCAAAYACTATAGCAATATATTAGTTGTAGATACATCAAGATACAGTATATTACAATGTCATCATACAAGAACTGTTAATAAAAAAACAACTACAATTTYAGTTTGTTATTTCCAAGCTAGTTTCTCATCAACAATAACTCCTAACTTAGTTTAAGACACTAAGTTAACTTTAGTGCCATAAATATATAATTTCACAACTTCAATACTATTTTTGTTTACTGAAAATTATAAAACGAGCTTTTTGAATATTAAGAGACTGTTGATTAATGTTAAACCATAGACAATTCTTCCCTTGCTTCCCTTATCAGGACATTTAATTTAGAATGATATTAAAAGACAAGTATCATCTGCAACAGCTTTTACACTTTTGCAAACATTTATTAAATTGTTAATATAAACTAGAAACAGAAGAGGTCCCAAAACTGAACCCTGCGTAACCCCACRAACTAAGATGCGAGGATAAGTAATTGGTTGAAGACAGCATTTTGATAAAATTTTGCACTTTAAATACAGACCTAGCACAAAAAGTAAGAAAATTTGTGTTTGATAGATTATTTCTTTATTGTATCAATGCTTCTTGGCAATAAGTCTTATAGTGAGCACCTCTGACTGGCAGCACCTGGGGTAGCAGAAGCTCAAAACAAGTTTAAAAAAAACAACAAAATAAGCTGTTTGGCAAAGAAAATTTGGCAAATATGTCATGTGCACAACCCACATACTCAGCTCTACTGCTCATCTCACAAATACATGTTCCTAATAAATGTGGCTCCATTTAAATTGAAATAAACAGGCTTTCCAATCTACCAAACACAGATTTCCTTACGTTTCACTGCTAAGTTTATTTGGTTACTATGTTTCTGGCCTCTTCATGGTCTGATGGTGACCTCTAGTGTTCAATGTCTCTGATTACAAAAACTCATAAAACATACTGAGGGTGGAAAATTATGCCATCATCAAAACAGGTCATGCTACTGATTTAATGTAAAGATAATTAATTTACTACACATTTAGCAGATTATTTTAAGCCATCCACTTGGTTCTTTCTCATTCAGTATTTAACTAAATATATCAGCAAAATGTTGAGCAAGTAAAGCACAATGAGGACATTTCATTTGCTTTTATTTGTTGAAGCAAAGGTGACAACAGATACACAAACTTTTATCTTACAGAAAACTAACAGCTGACTAAACAATGTTGTTAGAATTCACTTTCTAAAGAAAGTGTTATGAGATTCACTGAATGAGTAGAAATGTTGATATCTACCATCGTAGCCCTGTAGTTGCTGGGTTTGAACTGGAGGAGGCAGTCTTTAATCATCTTTGAACACTAGTRAGGCAATATAAAGGAGTTTTATGTTGCTCAAGATAGAAAAAGACAAAAAAAATCCTAAAACAAAGAAAAGCAGTGCATTTATGCTTGCTTAATTTGTAATATTTTTAACTGTGCAACAACTTCTTTCATAATTTTTAGCTGTTTATTTAATTAATCCCTCTTTGCTTTTGCAAAAAACACTCCTGTCACGTCATCAACCCCGACCCTCATGTCCTGGGACAGTGTGTAAACCTCCAGCCGGATCAGGGTGTAGCCGCTTTCTTTCAGGCTCGAACACACCTGGGCTTCATCCAGTGGGACCACGGGGATCCGTACCCCAGGCCCCCCGAAATAATAACTCTCCCCCAGGGCTCCAATGAGCAGCAGGTGGCCCCCAGGCCGGAGGAGCTTCTGGATGTTGCCCAGGGCCCTGGTGAAGGCAGGCATGTCGGGGCTGACGCTCTCCAGGCAGAAGCAGGATACCAGACAGTCGGCCCCGGCTGAAGGAAGGGCGTCAGGGGCCAAAGGCTGGGAGCAGTGCACGTCGATGGGGAGGATGTCTGCAACAACCTGACGAAGCTTGGCGGCTTTTTCTGGCCAAGCTGAGGACCTGCAGGGAGTGACATCAAGGAATTATTATGCAGACAACTGAACAGTGTCTTATCATTCAAAAAACTTATTGTTGGATTTACTTTACCAAGTTATCAATTATTGTTGTAAGCTGAGTGAATGTAAAGCAGAGGTTACTTTACATTTACTCAAGTTAGTTGAGTAGAAATTGTTGTCATAGCTTAAGTAAATCCAACACATCTGTTTTTTAGTGCAGGTTCATCAGAGGTATATAGAAAAATACAAAAATAAAAGTCATAAAACTAATCACAATTGTGAAAGTAAAAGTACTTTYACACRCACCATTAAAATAAAGTGTTGAATTTACCTAACCAAACTGGTTCTACTAAACAAAGTTGAGTAAATGTACTCAACTCGGTGTAGTGGAACCAGCTGACATAACTTGGTTAAATAAATTCAACGCTTCATTTTTTAGAGTGCAGAAACAACTCTTATCATGATGGTTCATATTTAAATTTGTAACTAGGTGTTCAGTTTTGAATCAAAGTCATCATTTTTATGTTTGTACGTGACAGAATAAAAGTAAAAGTTACGATTAAAAAGCACACTTGGTAAAATTTTAAATCCTCAAAAAAATCACTTCAGTACTGTAACAAAGTACATTTACTTAGCTACTAAACACCTCTGAGTTTCATYGCATTTGGAAAGTTGTTAAACTTTCATTTTTCTTACAAACTGTATAACAAAGACAAGTACATACTAAGATCAGTAACTCTTCCAAGAATGTTTAAAAAAAATCTTTTTTTTTCTCCTACCGTCGCCCCTCCAGTTTGCAGACGTGCTCCAAGTAAGGTGTCCAGTCCAAACTGCATTTTCCCTCATCCTGCAGCCAGCGCCTCAACTCCTGCCTGTTCACCTCCAGGAAGTCTGTGAGGATCAATTTTTTAAAGACTTCACAGCCACTCATCACCTGGTACAAAGTGGGGCCTGAGCCAATGTCCACCAGGAGCTCACCGCTCACATCGCCTGAGTGGAGGATGAGAAAAAAATAGATAATAATAATGATAAGGAAAAAAAATCAACACTATTTTTTCCCACAAAATCAACAGTTAATGTGTCTTTAAGCTTAAGCAAAATTGGTGTACTTGCTGACACTTACCACATTGAAAGATTAAACTACCATAGTTTTTAAAAATGTCGACTTAATTTTAGATGATTGGAGCCAGCAACAGTTTTATTTAAATTTTGCTTAAATTGTGAAATACATTAGTTTCATGTAACTTTACATTTTTGAAGTTGCTGTATCTGGTGTCTGACAACAAAAACATTAACGATGCTGAATCTGAAYGATCAAAACAAGAAAAAGACATTTTTTGACAAAGAATAACTTCACACTTTTTGCAATTCATTGTTTTGTTACGGGCTTTAGAATCTTGACTAACCCTAAAACGTTTAATATACTTTAATGAATCTGCAACTTTACAAAAAAATTACTGTAAAGAACTTGAAGCTGGAAAATAAAATTTGCAAATCTCATTAAAAAAATCAGTTTTTTCTGCACTGTTTTGTTTGTAAAATAAAAACAAAGAAACAGCATGCAGTCTGTATCTACTGTCTCCCTACCTTCAGTGAGAGCTCTGTGCAGGCAGGCCAGTTTCCAGGGAACGATGCTGTCTTTTCTTGTGAAATCAGCTCGTGGAGGAGTGTAGTTGTACTGCAGGTACGCTGCAGGATCAAATTTTTGGTAGCAGGCTGCCATGGCCGCCACTCCGTTCTTTTCTCCCTTGTCTTCCATCATTCAGGTGGCTCCTACCTTTGTGTTTCAGGTGGTCGGTCTTCAGGTGCTGCCCGATGAGTTGACTTATATATCTACGTGTTTATGTCCTCTGGGCTGCTCTCACTGAGATAGTGATCCTTGTTTTTCAGCTCAGGCTGCCTGATACCATTTGTTCTCCTCACTTGCTCCGTTCCCTCGCCCTGAGGCACTGATACCATCAGATCAGGGGCCTTCCTCCAACACGAGGCCCAATAATGGACTCCTCTTATGGCCTTTCAGGTCCTCCACTCACGAAACAGGGCTATCTCTCAGACGGATTATTTTCCATCTTAATGAGACATTTTACTTGATGGGGATGTTTGTTGGAAATGTGGACATGAGAGATGGTGAGCGGCACGGTAAACAAAGCAAAAACTCATGTCGTTATTCAGAAGTTTTTCTCTACCTGAACGTTTTCAGATGTGCATGTGATGTAAATATTTAAATAAAATCATACTTGCTAACAAATTAGTCACCAAACAAGTCTCCACTTTGTCACGTCACTGTTGTCTTCTTAAGAAACTTAACATGATGAATTTTGAAAACGTTGTTTTCTCTCATTTAACACTTTGAACCAGTTTTGTAATCATGAATAACTGTCACCTTTTAAATGACGTTATGATCTTTTTTTTAAACTTTGTTTTATGAATTGCCTTAACATTGTAATGTTTTAGTCTTTTAAAACTGTATTTTAAACTGTTTTATTTTCATGTTACTTAAAGTCCATCAAGGGACTGACATTGCCATTTATCCTACAGGGTAAAAATGTTTAATTGTAAGGTTGGGGTGTCAAATTTATTTTCACAGAGGGCCACATGAGCATAATGGTGGCCCTCAAAGGGCCAATTGTAATTTACTTTTTCTCATTAATTTACTTAACTTTGACTAAACAGGAAACATCACATCACTCGTCCTATTGCTAAGACTGAGCACCACAAACAAACAATAACTGAACTCTACGTGGTATATACTGCATCAAAACAGTGTTTTAACATTTTGTTATAAACAAAGAAAATACTACATGTACGACAGAATAGATGTGAAAAAAATACACAGATATCCTGATGCATTTCAGTAGAAAAATAAAAAAAATATGAAGTAGGTCCTCTGGACGGGTTCTTCTTAGTGAAATGTTTAACTTCAGTCTGAGGAGTTTCAGGTGAACTCAGTATTTTAAGCACTGCCTCCACATGGAGCCCAAACAGGTTTAACGATGACAATCAAAACTGTTGTTCACATGCAAAAGAGGACCCTCAGCCTAACAGATCGTGCAGAGACAGAATGCAGAGGTACTATCAAAAATGAAGGTAAAAGAGTTTTACTCACTGAAGAGTTATGGTAAGTAGCAACCATCTTGAATTCTGAACTCTGTCACTTTCTGACAGGGAAGGTCCGAATGGAGGGCSATGTAAGTGGGAAGTTCCCACTTCACAGTAAAACTAGACTGCAGCAAACGTAGCTGGCAAAAATGCAGCTAAATGTAGATTTTACATGGCAGCCGGCAGCTACTTTTGAACGCTGTGAAACCCCATCTAGTGGTGGGATGTTGCAATTTGGTGGGTAAAATAATCAAAATGCATTATGGCATGGGTATACACTCCTGATCAAAATCTTAAGACCAGTCAAAAAAGTGCAAGAATTTGCATTTTGCACTATTGGATCTTAAGAAGGTTCTAAGTAGAGCTTCACAATGTTAAAAGAAGAAATCAGTGTAAGAGACAAGAACTTTTGAGCAGGGAATTTTCTGAAAACTGCTTTTACACTCAAACATGATTTTTTCAGCTGATCAAAAGTTTGACCATAGCTCAAAGAAACCCGAAAAMCCCCCAAAACAGAAATCAAAGTGTCAAAAAAAGGACTCAGTAATGAGTAGCTCCACCATTCTTGTTGATGACTTCAAACAATGTTTTAGGCATGCTTGATGCCAGTGTTTCCAGGAGGCTAGTGGGAACGTTGCTCCAAGTGTTGAAGATGGCTTCACGAAGGGCATCCACTGTTTGGAACTGATGTCCATTTTTGTAAACTTCCCTTGCCATCCATCCCCAAGTTCTCAGTTGGGTTTAGATCCAGGGAACATGCAGGATGGTCCAAAAGAGTGATGTTATTCTCTTGGAAGAACTCCTTTGTCAGGCGGGCATTGTGAACTGCAGCATTGTCCTGTTGAAAAACCCAATCATTACCACACAGACGAGGGCCCTCAGTCATGAGGGATGCCCGCTGCAACATCTCCACATAGCCAGCTGCTGTTTGACGACCCTGCACAACCTGAAGCTCCATTGTTCCATTGAAGGAAAACACACCCCAAATCATGATGGCGCCCCCACCACTGTGCCGTGTAGAAAACATCTCAGGTGGGATCTCCTTGTCATGCCAGTAACGTTGGAAGCCATCAGGACCATCAAGGTTAAATTTTTTCTCATCAGAGAAGACAACTTTCTTCCACCTTTCAATGTCCCATGTTTGTTGCACCCTTGCAAAGTCCAAACGGGCAATTTTGTGGCGTTGAAGAAGACGTGGCCTTTGAAGACGTTTTTTGTTTCTGAAGCCCTTCTCTCACAGATGCCGTCTGATGGTTAYTGGGCTGCAGTCAGCACCAGTAATGGCCTTAATTTGGGTAGAGGATCGTCCCGTGTCTTGACGGACAGCCAATCGGATCCTGCGGCTCAGAGCTGGTGAAATCTTTTTGGGTCTACCACTTGAATTTTTTGTTCCATAACCCTCAGGATCATTTAAAAAATGCAAAATGACTGTCTTACTGCGTCCAACTTCAGCAGCGATGGCACGTTGTGAGAGGTCTTGCTTATGCAGCTCAACAATCCTACCACGTCACGTGAGCTTTTTTGCTTTTGCCATCAGGAGGTCTTTACAGTGTAAAGACTTGACAGAAAATGACATGGAATCCAGATTTTTGAACAGCTTTTGGCTTTTAAAGACTATGGTCTTAAACTTTTGATTAGCTGAAAAAATCATGTTTGAGTGAAAATGCAGTTTTCAGAAAATTCCCTGCTCAAAAGTTCTTGTCTCTTGCACTGATTTCTTCTTTTAACATTGTGAAGCTCTACTTAGAACCTTCTTAAGATCCAATAGTGCAAAATGCAAATTCTTGCACTTTTTTGACTGGTCTTAAGATTTTGATCAAGATGCCATCCATTTATTCATCCATTTATTTTTAGGTGAGCTGTCAGATGTTGGGTGTGTGGCCTTGTGTTTTCTTGGTGTATATTTAATTTATTTATAATCTGTATTTCAATCTTTCTAATTAGATTTTCTCGTTGTTTTCCCTCTTTTTCTATTTTCTCTTTACTTAAAAAATCCCTGATGATGACGAAATTAAGAAACTGAAATTAAGTTCGTTTTTCTACTGAAGTGAAAAAAGGGGGAAACATGCATTATGGCAGATGAAGTTTAGGGTCATTGCTAGCATTCTACACTTATTTTAAAGACATTAATACATCGTTGACACTCTCTCGGGCCACATAAAATGCTGTCAACTGGCTTGCACGCCTTGAGTTTGACTCATGTAGTGTATTGTATTGTTTAAACTTGACACAAGTCCCTATTCAAATRAACAATAAAAGAAATGAAAATGTTAAAACTGAGATATTTTAAAAAGTTTACTGTTTTCTTTTTTAGATTAAAATAACATTTGAAAMCAAAAGTATTAAGAAAATAGAAATCAGTTCTGTCAAAAAATAAATAAAAAAACCACACACACACCTGCTATTTCACTTGTCACAGCTGCAGTCACTTCTCTCATCAGCCCCAGTTATTTTAGCTTCTTGTTGTTTTCATGTTAGATCCTCCTCGTACACCATGTACATGTAGGTAAACTTTTATGTTCCACATGAAACCATGTTTGGTTTGGTGTTCTTTAAAATCTTTTCTGGAAGCTAAAAGTGATCCTCTCATTGACATWTCAGCCTTCGGATACCAGATTACCCGAAAAGCAACTTGCTTTTTCTTCGCGTTTTCTAACAATTTTTTTTTTATTATTATTTTTATTGCTGTTATTTCTTTCATGTTTGCCTCTGGCCTCAACTTTCCCGTGCAGTTTGTTTTTGTCATAACTAACTGTAGTCCCCTCTATGATCTTTCCCACTTATTTCCAGGATGGTCAGTTTGACCTTAAATGGTTTGAGTGCTTCGTGAGGATCTGTGCCTGCGGCATCTCGGCTACCACCTGCATAGTTAAGTAGCTTTAAGCTTGAATCTACTTTAGCATCTGTGAAACTACTTCTTCTAACTGCTTCATAAGACATCATTCTTGTGTTAATTAAAAAGCAGTGTTTTTTATGATGATTTGCTTACTAAAAGTAACAAAACTGCATGTCACAGGAAAGTTAAGTTTATATGGCTTGGAGGAAAAGTTATGAAACCTCAACAGAAATGAATCAAATTCAACAGAGGGTCTTCTAAATTTTGCGCAGATCCAACATGCTGACGTGCACAGTCACACGCAAACCCTCGTGGAACAAACAGTCAGTGGATTAGAGGAGGCAGGAGGAAGGTAAGGGACAGCTCCTTCCCCTGTGTCAGATGAACAGATAAAAGAGCAAAGAGGATCACAGAAGAACAGATAAAAGGTAAAAGCAGGGAAGTGAAAAAAAACACAGGAGCAATATAATGGAATAACACACATTTAACCAGAGCTACTGGAGCCAATTTAGTTATCTATGGTCCTGGGGGCAGTGGGAGTTAAGCGACGTTAGTCAACTCCACTCTGGGTTACCTTTCATTTGGCCACAGCAGGATAGTGCAGGTACACATCAGAAAACTTTGATCATTTTGACCTTTATTTTTTTTTTTTTTTTGGGCCACCACATACTGAGTAAATGAAAGATGACCAGTTACATTGAGGGCTAATGGAGAAGACTGGCCCCACATTTCTGACTTCCTGTTTGTTTCAATTCATTAAGTGAGAGCAAACGTGAAAAGGAAGGACAAGTAAACATAAAAAGAAAATGTGAGGTAAGACACAAATGCAGTATTTGACCAGTAATAAACACTTGAGACAAAGAAAAGATTATAGAAAATAATATTTTTACACTTACTTAACCAAAAAAAGAGAAATATAACGAGTAAATGAATGTAATGTTTCATGGATTAAACAACATTATTATAATTTTGGACACATGGTAATACAGATTAAAGTGAAGATTATAACGATTAGGCAAGGAGGGACATTTGCCCGTATTTTTTACGTTATTATCATATTAATTTATAGCTATGTATTATTTTATAGTGGATGAACTGTCCATGAACTAAGGGCCTGTAACAGTGAAATGCTGGCGAACCATCTTATGTGGATGACCTCAATTAGGTGATACTGGTTTACAGCAGATCCTGGACAAGTTTTGCCTTTATTCATGTCTTATTTATGTGTGTATTTATTTATCAGCACTGAAAAAAATATCAGAAAAATGTCAATAATAAAACAGAAAATGTAAAATCATTTCAGAAATAAAACAAAAACAAAGCAGTATGTTGTGTTTTATGAAATGCCTGCTTTTTGCCTGATGCACTGTCTTTTTGTGTTTTAGGATTTCAACAAAAAGTACTATTGACTTTGTGAAATAGATGTGACACGGTATTAAAACATAGCAAATAAGGGATGATTAAAAATAATACTGTGATGTTTTATTTTGAAATGCGACGTGACGTCACATCCTGCCACTTCATCGTCAATTTACAAACCATTTTAAATATATATTTTTAATTATTTTTTTTAGTCACAAGTCACTGAGAATTTGCTCTATTTGTCTGAAACATGAATTATTGCAGACTATAGTTAGCTTAAACACTCGAACTTCCTGTTTCATCAGTCGCAGCTCTTATTTTGAAAGGAGAAAACTGCACGCGGAGCCAACCTCTGCTGCTCACACAGTTTGGCAAAAAAAAAATGAAGACCTTATAGAAGACTTAACTCAGGACAAGTGCAAACAGAAGAAAACTTTTCTTTTTCTTGAACTACACAAGGTTAAGTAAGAATGAACTTTTATTCTTCTTCTGTATTTTATCCATAATTGGACAAGTCGGGTCTTTGAAGTTTTGCAGTTGAACATAATTCATATTCATCATGATTAATTTTATAGCTGTTTAAATTGTTTGATAAACTCGCCGTTTATATATATA